AACTACATTACCCAAAATTGGCCATAGGCGACGCATTAAAAGCTTTTACCGCTCATCAGTTTAGTGTTATCAGTGATTGATGGCCCTAAAATGATTGCTCTCACTGCGACGTTCGCTTCAATATGTAACATGTGTGGCGCAATTGTCATTTTCGCGCACTGGCGACGCGTATTTACGTTTATATGTGCGTAAGCGAAGGGGGGGGGGACTTAAACATTGGGGGGGGGGGGTTTACTTTTTTATTTTTGTGACCTGTTATTTTTTTAAACTTTTTTTGTTTGTGACTTTACGTGGTGTTTGTTGGATTGTGAAACCTTGTCATCTGGAAATAAAATATATTTAAGATATTTGGCATTAAGGGTGTGTCTGATGAACATAATAAATACTTTAGGATACGTATGCACACACCACCTGGACCCTTTGTGTCAGGGATACCGGCACAGGTGACCCCACACCTCCGCAGGTACCCACACAGGCAGACCAAACACGTGTGACCACACGGACAAGGCAAGTATGTTACACGAACCAGGCAAGGATGTTAGATTTGTATAGTTTGTTTATTATACAACTTAGACTAATAGCAACAACCAACAACAAGGCTCAGGACAGCAAACAAAAGACACATGAAACAGGACTACAAACAGGGTTCAGGACTCACAGGTAACAAGATTCAGAACAGGATTCAGGACTCACAGGTAACAAGGTTCAAAACAGGATTCAGGACTCACAGGTAACAAGATTCAAAACAGGATTCAGGACTCACAGGTAAACAAGGTTCAAACAGGAAATAGGAAACAACACTGAGCCATCGTGCATACACCCACTCTATTGACGTGTTAAAGGTAAAGTTGGCTCTCTGGTTCTGGATCTGCTGATGTATTATACTGTACAGTATGACATCCTATTTGTTGGCTTGTTATGTGGCACATTGCCAGGAAGATGTGATATGTTTGATCACAATACATGTATGCCTTTTTCTTTGCTTATATTCAATAAAATAAAAATCTTAAATGGAAAAAAAACCCACTGAGCCATCATCCTGACTGCAGGGAGGGTTTAAATACCCTCCCAGGAAGCACCAGGTGATGGCTAAGTGCTGGGAGACACCCGCAGGTGAGCACTGGAACTGCAGGGCTAGCTCCAGCGCCACCTGGAGGCCACCTGGAGGCGCTCTGGATTCTAACAATTTGATTAGATGTTATTAGATCTGGAAAACCCTTTTGAGGGTCAAGAAGAGCTGCTGCATTTGACAGCTCTGTGCTCTCCTTTGACATCTAAACTACTAAGAATACTGAAAAAGTCACATGGGTGAGGGTCAGTGAAATTTCAGATTGGTTTTACCCTGCAAGCAAATCAAACGTCTAGTTCTGAATTGCAACAGCAGATGCTGTTAAAAAGTGTGTTTTCATTAAAAATGTGGTGGCAGCTACTGTGTGTAAAGTGTTAACTTCTCAGATAACCCAGTCCAGTGATGTACCTCTCAATCTGCTGGTGCATGGATTGCTGACCCAGAGCGAGCAGGAAGATCTTTGCACAGAGTGGGATCTGAGAGCACAATCGACACAACAGGGATTAATCCAGACTTCATGCAAGATTCACGTTAAATGAAAATGCAAATAAAACTGACCTAAAACCAGTTAAAGTTTCCATTTAACTCATAGATAAGGGTGAGCAAGAGACTATAGTCTCATGTACACTACCAGAATAGTGAGCATATGTGATATATACAGGTGATCATGACCCAGGAGTACAACACAAAGCAGCACTTAGGATAAACATTCTTGCAAAGGGGTATAGCCACGTTTATCCTTAGTACACCTTTGATGAGTATCTCCTCAAAGATGCGCTGGTCTGGTGAGAAGGTATAATTATGTGACTTTAAAGTTTCGCTATTTTTAGCATTGTTTCTTACTGTTAAATGTTTTGAATAACAGGCAAGACACATTGGTTGAACATTTCAAATAATTTTTCTGATAGAATAGGATAAATAAAGAGGCCAAAAAGAGATATTTATTTTCTGACAACTTACTGTTGTGTCTTGGAGGAGAAAAGCAGAACACTGCAAACCAACACCTAGTAATTTATGGGGATTCCAGGTCACAGAATTTGCTCTGTAACAAAGTCAACAAAATATTGAACAAAAAGTATATACAGTAAAATCACTATCATATAGATATTTAGAATTATCCAGGTTTTAGCCATCCATGTCATGAAGGTACTCTCAATAAATGAATTGTCTTAAATGCTCGAAGGACTTCAACTAACATACAGTAGGCTTGCTGTAATGTCACTTACTGTAGCCACTGGCACAGTAAGCCATGCTGGACTCATTTTAACAATCTTTAGATCAGATGAATTAAAATAATGAAAGGCTATTTCGAACTCTAGCCATCAGTTAAATTTTTTTTTCCTTATGAAATCAATAATCTATATAGAAGAAATAGAAAATACTGACATTTGTTCTGAACAGATACCCCACATCCAAACACACTTTATCTGTAACCACTACTATCAACGACCTTACCTCAGAACTATTATTGGCACTTTGTAAAGGACCCTCATTGTCTTTTTCACCATGGCCAACCTTACAGGCCTCCCATCGTCTGTAACCCTCCACTACCAGACATTTTGCAAACCCAATTCATTCAACTACGTACAGGCTGTCGACTTACAAAGACTTCTCTATAAAGGTTCCTTTGTGCACTCTTCATAAGCAGTGATTTTGCACAGTCCATCTTTGTTTATTTAATAGAAAAGACATTAGTAATAGTCTGCAACTCTGCATGAAGTTTGTAAAATTTCGGTCAATACTTACTTTTCAATTCCGTTCAGGAGCTGCCTATGGCGGTTGGATAAAAGAGCACTGCCACCCCAGGCAGCCTGTTGGATAGCAGTACATTTATTAGAACTTTAATAACTGATCAAATATGTTATTTGCTCAACATCATAGTCATTAAAAGAAACACTTGACCATTGAGCGGTCAGCAAACCCGACCGAACACCGATCGGAGGCAGAGGTAACCAGGTGTAATCGTCCGTTTACACATGGCTAACCATAGACTTGCATTGGGCATCCAATCGGGTCCGTCTGAAAAACTGACAGGCGGACCTGATTGGACCGCCCGTGTGAAAGGGGCCTTAAGAACCAATAAGGAGGTTTGGGAGGCAGGGTACTGGGAAGCAGTGGCGTCCCGAGGCTGGGTGACACCCGGAGCGGTGTCCGAGTGTCACACCGCTGAGACGTCACCGCGCATGCGCAATGACGTCATCGTGCACGCGCGGCCGTATTCCGATACCTGCCGGCGGCCATCTTGGTGATGGACGCCGGCAAAGAGAGGAGGGGACAGTCACCCGGCGGGATAAGGTATGCCGCCGGGTCCCCTCCTCTCTCCTGATACTGTCGGGCGTTCGGTCCATGACCGAGCGCCCGACTTTTCAAGAGGGGGGTGACACCAAAATGACTGTAAGTCATTTTGGTGTCACCCCTCCGATGGTGTCACCCGGGTGCGGGCCGCACCACCGCACCCCCCTTGTGACGCCACTGCTGGGAAGTAGCAAGTTCACCTTTTACAGGATAAGTTCAAATGTAGTAACCTCAGCTTGTGCATTTGTTCATCATATACACAGTGTAGAATTGCACAGGTTTGTGACATGTTTACATTAATCTACAACTGGACAACACAGTGCAATCACATTTTACAATGCACATGAACTTAAAGTGGACCTTTACCCCCTTTCACATAAATTCATATTAGCATGTAGCTCTGCATGCTAATATGAAATCATCTTACATTCATTAGTTAAACAAAAATATTTTGCTTTTAGTTCCAATTATTGTTTTTCCACTTCCTGGTCCTCATAGACATTATTGATGTAGCCGTGAGTAAGAGATGCATCCTGGTAAGGTTGCATCACAGTGCATTGCTGGGAAATCTCATAATGTGCATGGTCACATGTGCCAAGGTTCCAGGAAGTAAAGAGAGATAGATTAACCTTTGTGAAATTGGCCACCATGAGAAGAATGGGGAGGAAAAGAAAAATAAGGTATACAAAGAATAAAAACCCGGCAATTATCTATAAGTATCTGTTAGTAGATTGTCATTACTAAACACTTCTAAAGGTGCCTTTGTTGTCATTTTAAAGATAAGGATAAAGTTCCTCTTTAAACTTACATCAACGTGTAGCCAGAGACCATGTTGCTGACACACTTTCGCAATGTCTGGGAGGGGATCAAAAGCCCCTAAAACAGTCGTCCCACAAGTTGTACTAACAAGGAAAGGGACAGAGGCCTACAAAAAAAAAAAAGATATTATCTTTGAATGTGGTCACATAAATTCATAGGATAGAGAGACTGGTAGATACAGTAGATGTATATAGGATAAGTCCTAGTATTGTGTGCATTAGGGAAGTAGATAATGTAGGAATTGGTCTGGGAGAGAGTTAATTCAGAATGTAGTAATGTTTCCACATGCTATTCCATACCTCCTAATCTACATTACCATTGATTTTGCCTCTTGTATTTTGTGCTCAAGGTCTTCTGGCTCCATTTTTCCTCTGTATTAAAATAAAGACATAGACCATGTTATGAGTGTATCTATCTGTTAATGTGTCTGACACATTAACAGATAGGTGACTGATCTAAGTATAGTTTGGGAAGATCTAGGCACAGTTTGGGTTGACTTTTTTACACTTAATTTCTGGTAGGAATTGTTCAATATCATTTCTATACATTGCCTAATTTAGGTTAGAGGATTTGTTATATACTGTACATACTATGCAAACATGTTAGCTTCTTTTTCCTCATTTGTATGCCTATTTTTTCCTTCCTTTACATCTTTTTTTCTTCTAAGCCCATGCTCTCCCCTATACAGCCTCCAACTATTCTTATATCAAAACTCACCCTCATAACTGTATATCATCTCCAGCCAGCATATCCTGGGTACAATAAATAGTGTGTTTTCAAATGCAGAATGTTAAAGGTCAACTAAAATCCTTGAAGTCTCTCATACCCTTAGGTATGTTAATGCCCTGATACTTAGAAATGGGGAGGCACTGACCACTTAGACATCCCTCTATTTCTCTAGTTCCATCCCCCAGGCCTATAAAGGTCATGTCATTGGCAGAGTAGAGCCCATTTTTAACAATTACTTTCTGAACATCCCCTATTTCTCAAGGGCAGCGAAGATCCCACATTTATCAAGGACAACCTGGATTTCCCTCTGCTCCTCAACCATGCCATTAATGAACCATTGGATTTTATATGGTAGGAGTTAAAATTATATTTAAAAAATATAAAAGCTTACATTTACAAATGAGTGATCATTTAGTAAAACCGTGAACAGCAAACATTGCTAAATAAAATTTAGGAAACAGTTCCTTCTATGCACTTTCATTAATATGTATTGTTACCTGCTGTCTGTCTTCACAAGGATAACATTATCAGTTCCAATCCCAAGGAATGCTGCCCCTTTCTGGATGGAATAATGACTCTATAGAAATTAGATCAGGTTATGCATAGAAGGTTCATTTTAACATTTTCTAACCAGAAAACAACATAATAGTAAAAAAATAAAAAATATTTTCAATCTTGACCCTAATTTACTAAAGGCAAATAGGCTGTTCACTCTGCAATGGATTTTGCACTTTGCAAGGGTATTTTCCATTACTTTAGTGAATGTGGTGAAAACTCACTTTGCAAAGCATACCCAATCCCAAGCAAGGGAAATAAAAAGAAAAAAAAAGTATTTTTGCTTGTACATGATTGGATGATGGAAGTCAGCAGAGCTTCACCTCATTCACTAAGCTAAGGATAAATTCCCTTACAAAGTTCAAATTCCCTTGCAAAATGAACAGCCTAACTCAATCGCTAGGTGACATGTATGCATTTTAAGAATCTGTTACTGTGCAATCATTTTGGTGATAATGAATGATGTCACAATGCTACCTGGTCTCAGGTGTCCTTCTTCCTATTGTATATAAGTGTATGGTTGTCCAACAATGCCAAACTATTTAGCTGAACTAAAATTTAAGTTAAAGTGATAAATTCATTAATAGCTCTGTTTTCAAAAACTCCAAAACTTCTGACATGCAAGATTCAGCTTTACTACTAAGCGCAAATTTTTCCTGCTTTTTCAGTGGGGGGTGGGGGGTTGGGGTGTCAACAATGGCAATAGGAGGATCATCAGCATTTTGCTTGGGCATGCATGAACCAAGGTTTTACTATATTATTCAGCCATTTTTCAATGCAAATTACAATATTTATAGACCTCCATACCCCAATGTGTCCGCCTATCTCCTGCCCTGTCCATCTTTTGGCAATCCTTCATTTTAGGGAAGCCTATTTCGACTCCACATAATAACTGTACTTCTATTTCTTCCTTTAGCTCATCCCTCACAATTCCTTTTGTATCACTTGCCCCTACTTTTAGATTGTAAGCTCTCAAGAGCAGGGCCCTCCTAACCCTTTGGTATTGATCTGTATTGTAACTGTGCTATCTTCCTTTTTTTGTAAAGCGCTGCACAAACTGTTGCCGCTATATATATCCCGTATAATAAAAACAAGAACATAATTTAACCATAATGAGTGAAGAGTGAATTCGCTTTAAAACAGATATTAACTGATTGGTAAAATTGGAAAGTTTTGATTCTGCTGAATATATGCATGCTGATTTGTTAAATCTACAGAGAACTGTATCTCTATGATATCCCTAGCTTTTCTAAAAAAATTAGATGCAGTTACATGCAGATGCAATTTTGTAATGCAGACAAAATGCATTGTACTTTACAAATGCGTTCATATCAATGTGGCTCATTGTCACCAGAACAGTGTATTACAGTGCGTTTTAATTTATTAAAATTAATTTATTTTAATTTAATTGAATAGAGAGCAACTCATTTGAATCATGTGGCAACACATGTTAAATTTCATGATAGTGTGTACATTTTCATTGCATCTGTGTGAACGAGCCCTAAATGGTACTTTGGTAGGTAGGAAAATAAAATTTCTTAATAATGGATTCACTGTATTCACTCCTAAAACATTTCCATTTAAAAATAAATAATAACTGTACTAGTATTTGCAGCACATTGATTCCCTCCTCAGATAAAATTATACATTGATAAGACTTTGCTTTAATCAAAGGAATACATGAAATCTTGTGACTGTATGAGAGCCATATTTCTATGTAGAGAAATAGGTTCATTGTTGAGTAAGTTCTTGGAAATCATATGTGACCTGGTTTAATGCTCCTTTGTGAAAGGCCATGTTGAATTCTACAATCCAGGCCATTGTACTGGAGAGGGTGGAGAAATTCCACTCCACAGCAAGCTGTTGTACTGCAGAATGGGGTTTTTATTGCCAGCAAACAGAGCTGGTCATATTAAATAAATAGTTTCTATGTGTTTACGGAAAACACAGTCAGTTTGGCATTAAAAAAGTAATTTTGTCCTACTTAGACCTTATACACCTCATAAATATGGAAGCAATCTCCCCGCCCCAATAAATGAACAGATATTATTCAAGGATATGACATAGATGCTCTGCTCCCGCCTTTAAATATTCATGACCAGGTATTTTTATCAGAATAGGTACTACTCATGGAGTTACATGTACTATTTTCCTTTGTCTTATTAACCTTTTACAGCTGATGTGTTACTATGATATGTACACCTAATTGTTGGTACCTTCTCTCCTCACTTCATGAGGCTATGTAACTTGCACCTTGCACTTAATGTTGTGCTTCATGACTCTGTTTAATGACTTCTATAAAGTAACATTTTCTTTAAAAAAAAAGTAATTTTAAGCCAAATTCAAAAAATTAGCTGAGCATGCATGTGTGTAGAAAGATCAAACACGAGCAGTAAAACTGAGATGATTGGACCAAGTAGAAATTTCTGATCATTCACTATTTCACTGTAGGACATTGTACATGTATGGAAATCTCCACCATCTGGTCATGGAAATATTTAAGCTCTGAAGAGGATAAAGGAACAGATCACAAAAGTGTGCTTCATATTCTCAGTTTTTATCTGTTTACTATTTCAGCCTGTATACTTGTATATGAATTTGCATCATTAGTAGTAGCAATAAAAACAGACAACTATTGTTCTCCGGTATAAAGATATTTCAATCAGAAAGGTTGTATGGCAACCTGATTGACACATAGGGGTCTATTCACTAAGCTGCCGAGGGCAGCTGAGTGAACAACCGACCCCAAGTGAAGTGAGCCGAACACTGTTCGGCAATTGATTTCAGGCTTGTATGGCTGATTTCAGTCGTATATTGGCTGAAATCAGCTGTACAACGGCTTGCTTCGCATGGTTTCGGGTTCCGGCCGCCCAGGAGAGAAACACTGCTTTTTCGTATTTTTTCTTTATTCTGTCAGAATAGAAAAAAAAATTACAAATTTTGGCCATAGGAATGCATTGCTAGATTCCTATTGGCTATTTCAATTTGCAATAGCCAATAGTAAACATTGCACCCGCCCTCTGCTGATGGACCTGATGGAGAACTGCAGCAGAGGGCGGGTGCAATGCTAGTTTACTATTGGCTATTGCAGCCCTCAGAAATTTTGGTGCCCCTTACACGGCTTTAGACCGGGCACCCTGCGCCGCTGGACGCAGGGCTTAGTGATGCTCTGGACGCAGGGCTTAGTGACACGCTGGACGCAGGGCTTAGTGACATGCTGGACGCAGGGCTTAGTGAGGCGCTGGGCACAGGACCCACCTGAGAGTGACCCTGCAGAGCCCACCATAGATGCTGCACAGCCCATTTGAGACTGTCTATGGTGGGCTCTGAAGGGATCTCAGGTGGGCTGGTCAGGGCTGCATCCCTCCCTCCTTTCCTTCCTTCCTTCCTTCCTAGCTCCTCTTACCTGCACACATGGCCTCGTCTGCCGCCGGACCGGCCAGAAGTGACGGCACGTCACTAACGTGACATCACTTCCGGCCAGTCCGACATCAGACGAGCAGCGTCGCTGATAGGGCCCTAGCTTGTCTCAAAGCCGCTGAAGCGGCAATGCTTGGGCCCTGCGCTACTAGGGCCAGGCCTCCGCCTCCTTACCCTTCACAGGTGGCCGATAGTCATGTAAGGGACCCGGGCGGGTCCCCCAGGCTGCCCGGACCCCTTACATGAGTATCGACAGTACCCCCCTGATGGCTGCCCTGAATAGACCCCATAGTGAAGGACTTTGTCTCTTTGGTTTTGCACTCCCCCCCTCTAGTTGCAGCTGCTATTGGATCCCAGTTCATCAAAAAGAGGGCTCTGAGCAGACATGTTGGATAGCAGACCCAAGCAGGGTCACATGTGACACATGCGACATCAGAGCAGGTCACATGATTAAAAGCAGAATACAAAAGTGCCCCTGCGCGCACCCTGGGGGTTGCTTGTTCTGCTCTACCATTTAACACATCTTCTGCTTACAACAGGTCTGTAAGATCGGGAGGTTATGCCCAACAAGATCTTTCCATGGTGGCCGTAAATGTGCCACTGGTGGCCAACTTATTGGAGTATTAGCTGTATTCTGGTTCCACAGCAGTAATACTGAAACTACTCACTGTACAGCAATATGATATTTAACCCTTCTTTTCCAGGACATATTTTATGCCTGTTATGTGCTTTTCAGCTTTAGTAATATTTGATGTTGGTGGCAGCATTAGTTTTCTTTTTTCAGGCTATGTACATTTCCTTGAGGTACCGTAAAATATGTGTTGTTCGTATCAGAAATGTTCTGCCTTTGTAATTTCCTTTGGACTGTACTGAAATCCCCAAACAATGTTATCAGCTTTCCCCCACTGTGTCCTGAGGAAAGGGGGAGGTGTTTTTAGTCCAAGTCAGAAGAGCAGCCTAGAGTTACTTTACAACTCCTCCATAAATACTGGCAGGATCACTAGGTGAATATAAAGGAAACAACACCTAAAAAAGAAATGTAAATAGATAAATCTGCGCTTCTGGAGAGAGGTGGTAGTTAGAATAAATGAATTAATAAAAATATGTGTGAATAAATATAATAAAACCCGAAGCTGCTCTGAAAAGGGATAAATCCTAGTATGATCGAAAAAAACAAAGCGCTAAGGGTGAATGTATGTGCAAAAGGTGAACAATATGTTTTCTGGCAAGGCCAGTCTAAAACCTAATAAAGTGTGTGAAACAAAACTCACTACAAATAAATAGATAAAAACACTCTAACCATAATGCACTAGACAATTATAACCAATAAAAATCCATTCCAATGAATTAAATAGACGAAAGGTATTTAAAAACATCAAAAAAGTGTCCAATAAGAAAATAATCCAGGTGAACGGTAGATTCCGTGTGCAAATATACAAATGTGCAAAAATAGCAATGTACTTGAAGTTGATCCGAACTGCCCCTCTCGGGTGGGTACTTACCAAAGGGAAGTTGGTAAGAAGCTCTTAGTGAGTGATACCGTGATTAGGCTTTAGCACAGACGTGTTCTCTGCGAGTCCCGGCAGCTGAAACAATTGATTTTCTCCTCTAAGCCGTTTGCTATAACTCAAAGATGAGGAGTCCGATATTTTCTGATAAAAATGCTTGTAAGTTTTTTTCACCAGTGGCTTCCTGCAACAATCCAAAGACCAGTCTGAAAGCTCAAGAAGTAGCTTGCTGCCCGGACGCGCTGGGCACAGTCCGACATCAGACGAGCAGCGTCGCTGATAGGGCCCTAGCTTGTCTCAAAGCCGCTGAAGCGGCAATGCTGGGGCCCTGCGCTACTTCTTGAGCTTTCAGACTGGTCTTTGGATTGTTGCAGGAAGCCACTGGTGAAAAAAACTTACAAGCATTTTTATCAGAATATATCGGACTCCTCATCTTTGACTTATAGCCAACGGCTTAGAGGAGAAAATCAATTGTTTCAGCTGCCGGGACTGGCAGAGAACACGTCTGTGCTAAAGCCTAATCACGGTATCACTCACTAAGAGCTTCTTACCAACTTCCCTTTGGTAAGTACCCACCCGAGAGGGGCAGTTCGTATCAACTTCAAGTACATTGCTATTTTTGCACATTTGTATATTTGCACACGGAATCTACCGTTCACCTGGATTTTTTTCTTATTGGACACTTTTTTGATGTTTTTAAATACCTTTCGTCTATTTAATTCATTGGAATGGATTTTTATTGGTTATAATTGTCTAGTGCATTATGGTTAGAGTGTTTTTATCTATTTATTTGTAGTGAGTTTTGTTTCACACACTTTATTAGGTTTTAGACTGGCCTCGCCAGAAAACCTATTGTTCACCTTTTGCACATACCTAAAAAAGAAAGCTTATGCAGTCACCACATATAAGGACTGGGAAGCGAATGTTTATTACATTTAAATGTTTGTGTTTAGATACACTATAAACTAAATGTTTGCATTTTTCCAGCAGTTAAAATGTTTCTTTTCTGAGATAAAGCTATCATGTATGGAAAATACTTGTATTACAACTGCTTTTACTTGTGCTTTTTATTAGCGGCTAAAACAATCATAATGGTGATATTCTTTGAAACAGCTAATAAAACTTCCTCTAGATGGCATAAGTGACCCTTATGTTAAATAGAAAAAAAAAATCAGCAGATGCATCTTGTCTGTCTTGCAGCCAAAAAAAATAATAACGTTATCTTGAAAATCCACAGAAAAAATAAATACTAATAATATGATTGCCGAATAACCAGAACACTGCGTACTCTCTTAAAATAAATATCAACAGCTTACATAGCTTGAAGTAGAAGAGCCAGACATAATTGCTACTGCCAGGAAATGCAAAAGATATAAAATATGGAAAGTCAGCTATTATAACTGTAGACAATTTTTTTCTTTTTTAAGTTTATATACATTTTCAAACTAAAAATGTATATACATGGTATCTATATATAATATTTAAACACATTATATGGCCAAAAGCATGTGGGCATTGTGATTGGATGATTGTGTTCAGGTATACAGGAATAAGTCCCTGGTTTTGACTCATTTGTAGGTGCAACTTTCAACTTGAGGTCCTGATTTCTGTACACATTTTTCTTCAACAGTAAGGGGAAATTCAAAACATTTGAAAAGAAGTTGAGGGCTCTACCTGTTGGCTGCATATGAAAATACAGTACAAAGCGTTAACTTGTAATATTTCAGATTTAGGTATGTAAAAAAAAGTACTGTTTGTAAAAGAAAATAAATAGTTATTTTGTTGCCTAATTTTGCAATAATAGTAATAAAATAAGGTATTTTATGTTTTACCAGCCAGAAGGAGGAGCTCTAGGCTCTTAAATCACATTACAAATGCACTAAAAAACACAATACACGCAATAATTTCAGCTTATTGGAAGTTTTCCTTGAAATGTTTTAAAGGCCACCATTGACAAACATTTTTTCTATCCTAATATAAAGACTTAAATATATTCCCTTTAAATGTATATTGGAACATAACTTCATATTTGGCTGGATTTCTTCCCTGGCCCTTATCAAAATTGTACATGATGTGAGACTCCATGTCATATTATTGTGCATAGTACATCTAAAGCATTATGCACCAGGCTCCAGATTTGGGAGAATATGGTGACTGGACAGATTACCTAAGCTTGACTAGTTACTGGTGTTGTCCACTGGTAAGCCAGTCTGTGAGAGCAAAACATCAGATTACTTTGGCCTGTATTAAAAGTTACTTCCAGGTTATAATCAGAGCCATCCCTATAATGAGGCAGCGTGGGGCGGTTCCCTCATGTGATTTCTCATTGGGTCACGTGGGAGGGCAGCAGTTGTGCCTGCCACCCACTTACTGGGCAGAGCATCCAGGTTGCTCAGAGATCTTAGACCAGCTCTCTAATGTCACTGGTTGACCCTCTGGCTGGCGTCCCGGCCAGTTTCTGGCACACATTGACGTCAGTCAGTCTACTGGCCCTTTATTGTGCTGATATATTATTTTCTGAGGTAAGATGATGTCATTGCAACAGTCAAGACATAATGCTAACTTCAGCAAATCTTTCTCACTCATAAGGAAGGTCATAGCAATGGAATTAATAACCTCCATATGCAAAGCAAAAATGTGTGAGTCCCATGAATAGCTTCCTGTGGAAGTCACAGCTTAAAGCTGAATCAAGGCAAGCAGTTAATAATTAACATTTAAAATACATAAACAGAAAATGTTTTACCTACTAAAGGATCTGTAATTTTGTCCACCACGTCCTGAAAGGTTCACTGCCCTGCCAATTTGGTGACCTTACTTTTCTCTACTACTGTTAAGCAATACAGTTTCAATGCTTCCCTGTCTCCAGCCTGTGGTTGCACAATGAAGCAGCAGCAACAGACTGATGAGGTTATCTCATTACTCTCTCCTATATATAATATATTTTTAAACTAAACTAGCGTCAGTGGCTGAATTTGTCTTGATATTATCCTTCTGTGATCATCAGCCCAGTTGAGGATTACAAAAAAGAGGATCTATATGTGTCTTCTGCAATAAGGTGCCCACACACCTTACCATTATCTGCAGATTTTCTGTGGTCAGATGGAAAAAGTGCAACAGATTGGCCCAGGTGGAGATTACTCCATCCACACAGTTAAGTATAGATGGAGGAATCTGTTGCACCTTTTCCATCTGACCACAGAAAATCTGCAGATAAATTGTAAGGTGTATGGGCAGCTTAAGTTAAAGGAGAACTATGAAGTGAGTGAAAATCACTCAACCTCACAGTTCAAGCCGACCTGTGACAATGAAACGGTCACACGTCGGCTCAATAGATCAGGGATTGAGCGAACGCATACCTTTGCTCGCTCACTTCTCAATCATCTCCCTGCTGTTAGGGTGACACCCCCTGGCAGGTGACACGGGCTTCCCTGAGGGGCGGAGTCTAAGTACCAGCCGGTGTTCACCAGAGCTCCTGATGGTGGAGATGGGCTAGGCTGCTTGCTGGTACCAGGTCACGATCGCCAGGGTTGCCCTGCCAAGGGATGGACGAGAACAGGAGGGCTCCAATGAGGAGACAGTAGTCAGATCCAGGCAGAGTTCAAGGCAGGGTGGTCGGATGGTCCCCGGTCAGCAACGATTAATCAGAGGATAAACGCAGGAGACAAGAGCAAAGTCGGGTCCAGGCAGAAGATCAGGGCGGGCAGCAAGAGAAGAAGGGTCAGACGGTCCGGGTCAGCAACAACAAAACAGCAGCAGTATAAGCTCTTTAGATGAACAGGAAGCTGGCAAAAAGACACAGTACCAGCTCCTTGCAGAGCTAGTGCTTAAATACCCTTCTTAATCAGAGACGACACGCCCAGCCTCAGGGTACACTGGCCTGGACCCTGTGAGATCCATTAGTAGGGGATCTTCTGGAAATCCTGGCTGGGATTCTCAGAGGAGAATGGTAAACCCTGACTGGTACTCTGAGCTTAATAACGCCTGCAGAGAGCGGTGACTGTCAGTCACCGCTCCCCGCTGGGATTCCCACCCTCCCAGCTCCGATCCTCCAGTGATGACTGGAGGAATGGACGGGGAGGGAGAGGGTACAGCTGGTTCTGCCTCTAGATAGGCAGAGCCCGCTGTCATTCACGCAGCTGGGTGGATCTCGATAGCATTGTTCGGATCCGTGTCGGCTGCGGCGGTCTCAGTATACCGCGAGCTGTAGCTCACGATATATTGAGCTTTGGGTCACAGGAGGACGCTAGTATATGTCCTCCCGTGACCCTTAAGAGAACTATGGGGAAAAACACTTACCCCTTAGTTCTCTTTTAAGTCCCGTGAGCATGTGTGGGAATTATGTCATCCCGGACCAGCCAATCAAGATGGCTAAAGATTCTGAACCTTGGAAGATGTCAGTGGTGACAAATGATCTTGCAGACATCACATCACTAGAGGGGAGGTAACTGCTCTAGATAAATAATGATAGAGTTATACTGTTGATGTATCATGCTTGTTATTTTCTAAATTGCTGGGCAATATATTTCTTATATGTTTCTTTTCTTTGTATGTGTATGACATGGAGTTGCTTTAGCTCTTGCTATACACACCAGTCATTAATAAATGAATAACAATAATACTGTCTTTGTCTCACCTCTTGTGAGGTAAACAATGCCAGTCTGGGAAGGGCATGCAGGCCTTTTTCTTTGCAGTGTGGAAAACGCTGAAATCGAGCCACGTTTATGGCATACATATTAGATATGGAGCCTCCTGCAATAAGAGATGAGAAGTCCTAAAAGCAAATCCAGATTAAGAACAAACAAGGCCCTAGGCAGGCTAACAGCTTTGAGTCACCCACTCCAAGGCACTTTCCATATACAAATCTCTTTAAATTCCAATTAAAAAAATTGTGCTTGTATCAGAATAGGCAATGTTGGATATTACCAGCAACCCTATTGTCTTAGCAGGCAGTAAGTGCAGGAGAGGAGTGGGAGGGTATTACAGCAGACCAGCTTATTTTTATCTTACAGCTATGGGCCTATTGATTCAGCATAACTTCATTACTTAAAATAAAGATGTAATACATGTACTTTTTTTTCGAGACAGGTTTCTTTTGGTGATATGGGCTTTCAGTTTTTTATTCTCTATGCAATATACCTGTATAGACATAAAGATATAACAAAAAGAAAGTTTTGGATTTTTAGCAGTGTAAGTTTTAAAACAACTAATGTTGTTGTAAATAAAAGTTATTTATTCTTTTCTTTAATTTTTTCCATCAATAGTGATACTATCATCTCATTTCTGATACAAAGCATGGCAAAGTTATTTACAAATAAATAAAGGTTTTATGTTGCACAATTGTTAATAAAATGCCAGCAGAAGAAACAAACAAAAAAATATGAAAACAAATAATTTAAAATATTATTGGTAAAAAAAAAAAAAAATCAGATGAAAATTAATCATTAATAGGAAAAGGGGAGAAAGGATTTAAATAGGGCAGATTAGGGTTTGCTGAAGGGTAGTATGGTGTTAAAAAATGAACACATTTTATTTTTATTTTTTTGTTGTATTTTACTGGTAGAGTTGCTTTAGCTGACATCATATACATATCAAAGGTCATCCATTTGATATACACGTGAATGAAACACAGTAAATATGAAGTAGCAATAATGTTGTTACTCTGCATTTCTCAATAGAACATCTGAATAGTGTGCCGAACACTGTTCAGAAGATTCGTGCTGCATAGCAGTAGTTGTGTAAACAGTCAAGATTTGCATTAACAGAGGCATAGTAGATATGCCCAGGGCAGATGCAAAGGCAGGAGAGGCATAGATCTGTGGCTCAACAATGAGCAAAGGGCTCATGGACCTGCAACTCCCACACATTACACTGAGAGATCAGCTCTGATAGTTTAACCTTTGAGACTTGTCACTTTGAAAGATAAGTCCTGCTCTCTGTACCATTGACAGCAGCTGAAAAATGAACGAAGCCTCCAAGCAATGGTTGCAGGCTTCATTCATCTATATGTCATACAATATTTTTTTAATTTTGGTTTTCAGGCTGTATGAATGGAGCCTTCAAACAGCGTTATATAATGCTTTTTTCATTCACGCCTATATACAGTTCAAAGCATTCTAATTAGATCTGCACAGAATAGTTTCAGCAAACCTGTAATTGTGAAGAAAATAAACCTTTCCTTGGTAAATAACTGCACCATGCTTTTTACAAGAAACATATTTTTAGTATCTTTATGAAAAGGGACAAATCACTGAATATAATTTGTATTTTCATGAGTTCAAATATAAACTCTTTGATGCCGATATGATAACGATATAAACAAATATTGGTATCATAATATTAATGGGAAAAAAAACTGCCTTTGTTTTACCATGCTCATTGTGACTAAATCACAATGGTTTAATCATGCCTCACCAATCCATGGCATTGCATACAAGAAATCAGACGTAGTGGGGGTGCCCAGCAAAACAATCATTTTGACGTCAGGCAATTCCAATTGCTTTTTATTGTTTAGGGCCGGTCTAGCAGCCGAAACACATTATTAGCTGGACACAGGATTGAATCATATTAATTGTGTCCACATGTTCACAATACCTGGGCAAAAAATGCCATCTCCCGTATTCCATCCCAGGAAGCTTCTCATTGTTCTAAGAACTTCATCTTCCATCAGGACAAACACTGGAGCAACTTCATAGGTGTATCTGCGGAATATAGAGACTTGACTGTAATCGCCAAACTGCCAAAAAGATGACCTGCCTAACTTGTCGAGCAACTTGATACATGTGTTTTCTTACAGCAAAAGAGAATATTTTATCCAAACAAATCCTCCTTTTGATTAAACACATTTCTGAAATACCTGAGTGGGCCTCCCTTTGAACTGACCCTTTTTCTAAATATCTACAAATCTGCAGAAAGAGAACATTCATAGTGTGCAGTCACGGTTTAGCTATGCGATTTAGTGACCATTTATATTCATTATTATGACAGCACTTCCCATAGGAAACCACTCACATATGGACAGGCATGTAGAATGTGCATTAAAGTACAAATAAACTGAGGTGGAATGACCAGAGAGACGCTGAGAAGTTGATAAGTTTATTTACTAGCAAGAGAATTCCTAAAATACCAAACATTCGTACATTTTCCATTTCTGTCTAACAAATTTTGGTAGGCGAATATGCCAATAAGAGGTAGGTTGCATGAATATGGTAAGCCATTTCTATTTTTCTTTTCAGTAAATGGGATCTTCAATTTTTATGATAAGTCCCCTTAAATCCTCACCCACCCCACTCTATTGGTCTGCAATGTACTCATTACATAATGGACCATATTTAGATAGCAAGCTGCCCTAGGCACCCTTAAATGATATCGCCTTTTAGTACAAGCTCCACTCCTTTTTTATGGTTATTTATTTCAAAAACACTGCCAGAATGAGCTTTTGGAGGGTCTGCTTTAAATGCAGATCTGCCTTATTTTTCTGTACAGAGCACAAGAGAAAGGAGAGATAATTACATGTTTCTTGAAGTATAGTGAGTCTTCTGACTCCTGTTAACAATTCCTGTACCTTCTTCCCGCTTATTTTCTTTCTTAATTTAGCCATAAATGCCCAGAGGTGATCAGAAGAGGGAAAGAATAAATGGGAAATACTATCACAAACAGTAAATTCAGAGGCTTGGTGTTGCCCCCTCCAATCATGCTGCCCTAGGCACTGGCCCATTTTGGTAAATATACCCATGACCTCATTGATGTTCATCAACTTGATAGGGTTACATGGTTAGTCAGGTTAAAAAAAGACACATGTCCATCGAGTTCACCTTATAGAGATATGAAAAAAAAGAAAGAAAAGCCTAAACAGAACGCTATGCCCACAGCTACCCTTTGTTGGTCTAGAGGAAGGCAAAAAAACCCTATAAAGCATGGTTCAATTTGCTCCAACAGGGGGAAAAAATTTCTTCCTGATCCCATAAGGCAATCAGATATTCCCTGGATTAACAATCTCTGATGCTTAATATACCTATAAGAACTCAATATCCAGTAATATTCTGTGCATTTAGGAATACATCCAGATGTTTTTTTAAACAATTAACTGAGCTAGCTAGAACTAGTTCCTGGGGGAGTCTATTCCACATTTTTACAGCTCTAACTGTGAAGAATTATTTTCGTGTGCAAAGGTTAAACCTCTTTTCCTCCAGACGCAAAGAGTGCCTCCTTGTCCTTTGCAGTGACCTTAAAGTGAATAATTTGGCACCAAGCTCACTATATGGACCATTTATGTAGTTATACATGGTGATCATGTCCGCCCTTAATCTCCTCTTCTCCAGAGAGAACAAATTCAGGTCAGCTAATCTTTCCTCATAGCTGAGCTCCTCCATGCCTCTTATGAGTTTAGTTGCCCTTCGCTGCACTTTCTCCAGTTCCACAACATCCTTTTTTGCAAAATGGTGCCCAAAACTGAACTGCATATTCCAGATGAGGTCTTAATAATGCTTTGTACAAGGGCAGGATTATGTCTCTGTCTCTGGAGTCTAGACCCCGTATAATGCAAGAAAGTATTTTGCTTGCTTTAGAAACTGTGTCTTGACATTGCATGCTATTTCTGAGTCTATGATCTACCAGAACACCCAGATCTTTCTCCATCATTGACTCCCCCAAACATGCTCCCCCTAGAGTGTATGACGCATGCATGTTTCCAGTCCCCAAGTGCATAACTTTACATTTATCAACATTAAACCTCATTTGCCACATAGGTGCCCAATCCCACAGTGCACAGGTCTGCTTGTAAGTTGAAGGCATCCTGTAAGGACTGTATTCCACTACATTATAATAATTTATTTGTTTGTTTTTTTAAGTTTTAATATTTTATATCATTTTGTCTTTTCTGTGTATACAGTATCAACATTTAAATACAGCATCCATGACATTTGGTTTACAAAGCAAGCTTATGTCTATAGGTACTTTAAGACAGATGGTATCATCTTTGCAAGAAGAGGGGGAGAAGGTGTGTACCTTTTCTATTTATCATAGGAGTTGATTTATTAAAGGGTTGGCGTCTGTATACTTATCAAAATAAATGTTCACTGTACAAAACAAATGCTTGTAAATATGGTCAACTTATATTCAAGTTAAATAAACAATCATTTGCAAGTGAAATAAAAAAAAAACTAATTTCTGTTAGAACATTATTAATTAATTTAGGCAATTAGAGCATCAACATATTTATTAAGCTCAACAAACTTTAAATTTGCTTAGTGACACATTCTCTACTTCTTTAGTAATGCAACCCTGTAGTTTGCAGTCTGTGTAATCTGTTCACCCTGCTATTCTATAGTACAGCTGCCTCTGAAAAGCTACTGTTTTTTTTTGGAGATTTCTACCTGCTGGCTGCAAATGCTAAGTATAAAATACTGATACACAAAATGAATATTTTATGATAATAAAGATATAAAATATTTTTACAATTTAACTTTTTTTAAAATACACTACAGATTCCCTTTGGTTAGACAACATATAATGTAATGGGATCACTGGAATACACTAAAGTGTCTTTTTAAAAATGGTCACAAAATAGTGATTGAACTCACTGGCTTGTGTTCAAAGTCTCAGTTATGATTCTTCCAGTCAAGGCATGGCGATCTAACCCTGAAAATAATTGGTTGAAGAAGCGGGGGTGTCCTAAAAATATAAATATAGATAGGTTAAAGGCATAATTTGCTTACATTACAGAGCCATAGAACAAAGAGTAATGGAGGACCTGTTTTAACGCTTAATTTAATGATGTCTCTGCAGTATCCTAGCAACACTTCCTTGGATTCTCCATCACTCCTCAGATTTAAATCCAAAACTTTCCGTAATTCCTCTGGTTCCATCCATTCACATACCTAGAGTTCATAAAAAATTTACCACACTGGTAAATTGAGCTTAGAATGACATAATGTTAATTTTCAACACAGCAAACAGAAGTGCAACAAACAGGAATCCGGCCCTCTGCACATCTGATTGATGATACACTTTTGTACCAGCTCCGCCCCTTGTGTCATGTGATTATTTTAGTAACAATTACTGCTATCTTGTACTATTTGAGGTACTTTGTACAGACCACCAAACAAGAGAAAGGCAAGATAGTTTAATGTTTTTTGAGCTATAGTGAGCCCTCTGACTCTCAATTTCCCTTCCACCCCCATGGCCATACCCCTATAGTTAGATTTGTGAAACAGCCATGCAATGTCCAGAGGTGACCAGAAGAAGGAAACAATATCACAATTTAAGAATTTTTGGGTTGGGGTTGACTTTTCTATATCCTCTGACTATGCACTGGTCCACAAGTGCCAACATAACAAATACATCTCTGATGAAAATACAGTCATGTTTGAAGTGCTGTTTCTTCTTGTGGGGAGGGGAGGTCATGCTATTTCAAGTGAAGTGCATGACACCGGAGTGGCAAAGGGCAAGGCTTAGCTTGAAGGGGCAGGGCTAAGCAGGAATGGGATCTGGCAGTTTTATGAAATGTCAGACAAACTCAAACTTGTGCTACAGACCATTAGGAGCTGCAGATGTGTTATGTGCAGTGCTACCAAGTCAGCAGTATTGTTAGCTGAGCAGGTTCACTTTAACTGCTGCACCCACCTTATGATCCCTATCAGTGGCATTCTGCACTCCTTCCTCAATTATTATCTTGAAAGCCTCCTGCAGAAATTCATCCGCATTGTTATCTTGTATACAGGAACTTTCTCCCGCCATTAAGGTCCGTACAGAAAAGCCTGTAATTGGAAGACATATATGTTAAGGGCTTGCCTCTTCAGTCCAGGTATGATAAACTAAATAGTTAAAAAGTTTGTCTTCAAAAATGAGTATGGTAATGCAGAAACAGTTTTGCAAACTGTTTGGGGTCTCTTTATAAACAATATACAGGTGCCCTTTGTCCTGCAAATATCTGTAATTGCATTATATTTATATTCACTTTTATCAGCGATCCTCCACCACTCCTGCTTCTGTTACACCTGGTTCTGAGTATGGGGGAGCATATGTGCTCCTCCCCTAGGACAGTTCTGATCTAGCAGCCATTTGCTATGCCCATGCACTGTGAAATGACCAAGTGAGTGACATCACCACACTGGTATTTTTTGTTCCAGCTGCAGTGTAGGAAGGAGGGCGAGGGCACTCTGTATAAGTGGGCTAGGGGAAAGGGGGGGCATGGGCACAGTGACAGTGTCTCTGAATAATTCTACACTTAGTTTAATCATACGCACTTGCAAATTGGACCCTAATTACTTGCCTCTATGAAACCTTCATCTTACTTTATACAGAAAATATATTTTGAACCACCACAAGAGAATGTGACAAATCCCATGTAGCATAACATACTTGTGGTTTGTGCTGAGCTTGTTAAATGTTATTCAAAGCATGAAAGGAGTTACAAGACCCTGATTCAGTCTTTTCGTAGACCCCAGGACTTCTATCAATACAATTACTAGGAACTAGGGAAAGAGCAAGGAAATCACTAGTTGTAGACACAAAAGTATCAAGGATTATTTTTCATGTGACTTACGTGAGGAAACCTCTTGCAGTGAGGACTGCTGCTATGGAATCCACTGCTCAGCTTCTTCCTTTAGAGGAAGATGAGGAAGGGGGTACTGGCTCAAGTTGCATAGAGAGAATAATGAAAGCCGTAGAGGGATGGTTAAGCAATAAGGCTGCTTAGGAAGCTGACTTTTGAAAACAGGAATAATAAATAGAGTTGTTGCCTTTAGCTTTCACTTAGATTTTATCTTTTAATTCCCAGAAAAAGTATGTCAGTTTTCAGTGCATGATACTAGAACATTTTCGGAACCTCATGACCCTCCAAAGTATTACCGATCCTTAACTTGTCATCATCCTAACCTCTTAACCACCTCTTTATACCCCTGACCGTGCACAGACTTCAACAAAACACTTCAATCAGTAAAATACAGAAGGGTTAGAACCTCTGTTAGGATATTATTACAGTCAATGTCTTACTGTCCTAGTGATAACAACTTCCATTATTTTTTTTGTCTTGCTGCCTTAAGGACAGGAAATAAAATTAAAATCTCAAGAGCAAGATCACAGACAACAATACAAATTTGACAGAAGTATTTATGCTCTCCAAGTCTGTTTAAAAAATTGTCTGGAGTTGAGCTTTACTAACCCCATGTAAAATGTGTGAATGAAAGACTTACAAACGCCCCAAACATAGGTCAAATAGCTTTCTTCTTATCCATGATAGATGCTTTGCTACCATATATGGAGGGCGTAATTGTCTGTGCAGGGGACTCTAATCTAGCATTAGATATTGGAGTGTCTAGAACTCGTACAGGGATGGCCAAGCCCAGATCTGCTTCTAAAGCGGGACTGGCCTTGGCAAAAATATTGCACACACATGCCCTGATCGATATCTGGAGAGAACAGAATCCCTTAGTTAGAGATTATACACACTATTCTCATGTTCATACGACATATGCTAGAATAGATCATATTTTTGTTTCTTCCTCACTGGCCCCTTTAGTGATATCTTCTCAGATTAAAGAAATAGTATGGTCTGATCACTCCCTGGTCACGATGTCTCTCTCACATCTCCGAGACCACAATAAGCCATTTCACTGGAGATTAAATGAATCCTTAATGAGCTCACCTCCGCTAAGCAATGAAATAGCAGCAAAGTTGTCTCTATATTTCTCTTTGAATGTTAAAAGTATCCGTTGGTCGGCGAATAAATCTTATTTACATAAGGACCGAATAGGTACATTAGTGGCTTCAAAACTGACCCAGAGATTTTGCAATTCTGCAATCCCTAAAGTTAAATGTAGAAGTGGCTTGTATACTCAGAACCCGAAAAAAGTACTCCAGGAGTTCCACACTCTCTTCGCTACACTATATGAAACCCATTCACAAATAGAGAAGGGGCAGGTAGCGAAATTCTTTGAGGACCTACCCAAGCCAATTTTATCGTTAGATCATAAGCAAATCTTAGAGGACCCAATCTCCCTCTCAGAAATTAAATTGGCTATTAAAACAGCGAAAGCTGGCTCAGCCCCAGGGCCTGATGGCCTCCCCGCTTCTTATTATAAAAAATATGTAGTGGTTTTGGCCCCCCATATTGAAGCCTTCTATAACTCTTTATACTCAGGAGCCTCCCTTGACCCGGACCTGAATAGAGCTTTCATTAGTGGTATCCTGAAGCCCCACAAAGACCCAGGGGAAGTCTCTAATTACAGACCAATCTCAATCTCAATCTCTCGTTAACAACGATATAAAATTATTATCCAAAATTGATGCCAATCGATTAAATACTTTTTTTAGGTAATTATATACATCAAGACCAAGTAGGTTTCGTTAGTGGAAGGCAGGGTCCTGATCAAGTCAGGAGAGCTATTTTTCTTATTTCATTACTTAATTGCTCTTGGGATTGTGGTATTACGCAAAAAGGGATGTTCTTATCAATAGATCTACAAAAAGCATTTGACTCGGTTTCTTGGGACTACCTGCTACCACTACTAAAGATTTGGGGGTTTGGCCCCTACTTTTTGTGTATGCTTCAGGCACTTTATTCTTCACCATCAGCACAGATCCGCTTACAAGGCTATACATCAGATCCCATCCTAATACGCAGAGGAACCAGACAAGGCTGTCCCCTCTCACCATTGCTATTCGCTATTGCGATAAAACCCCTTGCTATCCTGTTACGAAATAGCGAAGACGTAAAAGGGGTTCAATGTAAATCAGGAGATCATAAATGTGCCATGTTCGCAGATGATCTGTTGCTTTTTGTGAGTTCCTCTCTAACTTCACTACCTAATATTATGAAGCTCTTGGAGAGATTTGCACGGATATCAGGTCTCCGAGTCAATGCTACTAAGTCGGTGGCACTTAATGTCAATCTCTCTCCTGAATTGTGGTCAGGGCTCAAAAGCTCCTTCCCGTTTGAATGGCGTGACGATTGTCTTCAGTACCTTGGGGTTAAACTAACACCTACTTTTACCAGTTTATATTCCGCAAACTATCCTCCATTATATAAACGCCTTAGGTAGGGAAATTAACTAGATGGTCTGTTTCCCAAAATCTTGTATTACTTCAGGATTCTACCGATTCCCATCCCAAAGAGATGAACTTCTCAGATTTCTAACGTCTATGGTAAAATTTATATTGGGTAACAAACGGTCTAGAATCTCTCGAGCGACACTCTTTCAATCCAGACGACAAGGGGGGCTTGGGGTCCCCAACTTGCTTTATTATTATCGGGCGGCACAGTTGCCACAACTTTCCTCTATATATCTTTCGGCAGTCACTCCTGATTGGGCCAGGATAGAAACTAGCTTGTTTAGGGGGCACTCTACCGATCTACTGAAATGGATGACTGCTAAACAATTATGGCCTGTACGCTGTCACACTCCATGGCCTTATGGGATCGGCTGCACGGTAAGGAGGGCATTGTCTCCTTTCACACTCCTCTCACACCTCTGTTTGGCAATGTAAATTTTCCACCTGGACTGCAGACCAAAGCTTTCCAATGGTGGTCCAACAAGGGTCTGTACAGAATCGGAGACTTCATTAAGTTCCATAAGCCAATCTCTCCTTCCTATTTTCAACATACACTTCAGATGCCACAATCGGAAATGTTTAGACTTAGACAAATACAACATTATCTACACTCGCTACAGATTCCTAAGAGTGGACTCCCCCTACTAACACATTATGAACGATGGTGCTTGGGAGGTTAGTGCCTTGTCGGCACTAACGTGGTAGCATTACAACTCCCCCTGCTGTACAGTAATAGCCTCCGTTTGTAAGTAGGAGTCGTATGTAAGTCGGGTGTATGTAACTTGGGAACTGCCTGTATATCCAAAGTCATTAAATTTTCTTCTGTATAAACAGTGACAGGTTATATACAGCTAGTGTGAACTAAAATAGCACATACTGTAGATAATGTTGAAAGTGTAGGTTTGGATAAAGTACGGAAGGATTAGAACCCCTATATTTGGATTGCTTTAAAGCAGTGTTTACTTTGATGGCACATTTCAATTTAGTTTTCGTCTTAGTCTTTTCACTAAAATGCCATTTTAGTCGTATTTTAGTCATCTGAATTGTTTTAGTTTAAGTCTAGTTTTGTTGAATAAAATCTAATGGGTTTATTTATTTGAAAGTGGGGAGTATTCTCTATGGTTTCTGTGATGTTGATCCAGGCAGCAAGGAGACCAATGGAGCCTGTGTCCCAGCCAATCCAGCTGCTAGAGTCAAGGGACTGGGGCTTTGATGGGGCTCGAGGGAACTGGAAGTCCAAATAGGTAAATGCAATAGTCCCTCACATTTTCGTTGTGTTTTTGTTCATTGATAAAAAGTGAAATGTATTTTCATTAAAGTTTTAGTCCTATTTAATTAGTTTTTATTTAGTTTTCGCTACTGATAATGTGCAGCTGATGAAAACTATGATGAAAATGTATTGTCAAGGAAATTAACACTGCTTTGTGCTGTGCATATGAGGTAGCCCTAGATCTTATCAACGCTGGGTAGGTCTCTGGCGGCTTGACCTGCAATGGGTCCTCGGAGCATATTTCTTCAGGCGTATGTGGAAGTAGGTGAGCATTGTGTGTAAAAAGGTAGCACTGAAACCTAGCCAATGCGTTTTGGAGGGATGAGGCTCCCCCTTTTTCAGGCCTTTGGTAGAGTTAGATCTGTTGATCATGGACACTGCATTTTGTGTCCTAATATGATAACAGTGTTCCAGAGTATTGCACTTGCTGTTTTTCCGGTACGTAAATTCTCCTGCTCTATTTGTCATGATGACCTTTATTACCAAGACAGAAAGTATCCAGAACTAGTGGCAAGTGTAAATGTTCCAATAAGAGCATGTGTTTTGATGACACTGAACGGGGGAATTACCTCCACTTTTGTCATAACAATCAACTACCATAGTATCTTAAAGGGAACAAAATTTGATGTGATCACAGGAGAACAGACAGTCTGACACAGTATCGGTTCAAACTGATTTTCATGTATTGACAAAACCTTTCAGCTTACATACATATGCATAGAAGAATTAGTGTTTACCTAGCCTCCTAAGATAAGGTTAAACTGGATTTTAACCAGAATTGTTTTTTAACGAAAACTGCTGAGCATATGCTTTTTCAAATTGTAACAAAAAGGTCAGCACACAATTTTAATCTTTCAGACTTTGTAGAGGTTTCCTCTCACTTCCTGTTGCATCTCTAGGATGGGAAGCACAGGGAAGTCCTCCAAACAAGACACACTCAGCAAAAAATAAACCAAAAGGGGTTTGACCCTTCCTTAATCTATCAAGGACAAAAATGGTTTGGGTATACATACACTTTAAATTACACAGCTAATAAATTAAACAGTTAATAAAACGTGTTTCACTGAGGAGAGCACCTTCACTAATGTTGGATAAACCCAGTTACTTTGTTTCCTATTGCCAGGTTCTAATTTCACTCAAATGCCATGACATTCAATATCTCTATTCATGATATACCTTTCACAAGCAGACTCTGTCCTTTTTTGATGAGACGGCTACATATAAATCGTGAAAGAATCATTGGTGTGAAGGGAAGATGGTCAGTATATCATCTGCAAGACATAGATTTCAAGAAGATTTATTGTAGCTGCACTTTTGTTGGAAACTGAATTTCTGTCCATGTCTCTTATTTACATTGCAGGGATTTTGCAAACTTCATTGCACTCTACTACCACCTGCTTGGTAGCAGATTTTTCCACCTCCATTCAACTCACTTCCTGCTTCCTGTGTGCTAAGTGGGTGTGTCAGCCTGCTACAGTCACATGATTAGTTCCTAATGTGGTAACACAATAAAAACTGCTGGGAATAGTGGTGCACTTAATACAGGAGAAAGAAATTACATTTCTGGGGCCATTTACTACAAACATACCGGATACCCCCAGCTGCCGTAGATGCAAGAAAGCAACATTTGAAAATAGTTTTGGAAGCCCCTAGAAAAGCATAGTGATTGGTCATTTTCAAGTGACCCCCTTTTGGGGTTTCCCTCCCTTCCTGCCTAGGTGACAATGTTATCACTAGAACAGGAAGTGTGAAGGAATCTCTCCAATAAGGTCGAAAAAGCAATAAAAACTATTTTTATTGTCAGAATGGGGAATAGTTACAACCCCTATCAGTTTTTTTAATTGTTCTCTGAGTTCTCATTGGAGATATCCCAAAATGTCCTGCCATGATGGCCACAATGTTACCAGGACAGGAAGCGGTGGGAAATCTGCAAAATGGAACATAGGCTCTAAAATAAAACCTAGCTGAGGTTGTAACTGTTCTTTGCGCTATCCAAAAACTAAGAAAAAAAAGTTTGGGCTAGGGAAACACTTTAACAAGCATCTAGTGTACAAATGTGAATACAAGCCAGGCCTTGTAGTGACTTGACAGTTTAAAGCACAAATGTAATAAGGGTCTGAATAGGTTGCCAAAATAAAAAAAAGAGAATTATATATTATATACTGAATTGAGAAGACATTACCTGTATGTAGAAGTGGAGGCGTATCCTGCAGGTATGAGAGTACAGCTGTTATACAGACAGGAGCAAAGTACAAACACTTTATAGGTTCGAATTAGGTAACAGAGTCCAGAAGATTAGCATGTCCTAATACAGTATGTCTGTAAATGATCATTTCTTGTTGAAACTATACAAATTAAAGTGTTGAATAGATGACACTAAACTCAGAAGTTAAATATTAAAAATGCATTCAAGTACCTTAACTATTTACAATACTGTACCTTATTTGTGTATCACTCGGCTGTAGATCCTCAAATCATCTCTGAATTCACGCTGACACTGTCCTTCCTTCTGGAGGGTGGCTACTATTGTTCCCTATGGTCCCTGTGTGTGTTGTAAAGTTGCAACTGCTCCAAACTTACTCTGATGGGGGACTACAATTTCAGTACAAATTAGTAAACTAAACGTGAGATTGTAGTCCATCAAGGGAGCAAGCTTGGAGTGGTGGCTACTTTACAACACACACAGGGACCATGGGGAGCAAAAGTAGGCACTGTTCAGAAGGAAGGGCAGTGTCAGCACCAATTCAGAGATGATTTGAGGATCTAGAGCCAATTGATAAGCAAATAAGCTACATTTTTGTTAATAGGGTACTTGAATGCATTTTGTCTTTCGTTTATTGAAGAACACAGTAAAGATATTCAGATCTTGGTGAATAGGGTTATAGCGCCACCTTCAGGAGTAGGACACTAGGCACAAAACAAAAGCACAGCCTAGGGATGGCCCGTGCTGGTGGCTACGTCCCCTAACAGCTAGAAGCAGCTCAGTTTTTAGCCTAGTGTCAAGAAGTTAGGACCTAAGCTCCCTGCCGGGAATCTTAGTTTTTTGTGCTTGGAATTTTTGTTTTTCCTTTTTCATCTGTCTTCTAGACCTTCAATCAACAGCTGAGCTGGCTGACAAGCCGGATAATCTAGATCCTTGTAGTCCCCCCAGCTCAGCCATCGAGCGCATGCAGATGCTTAGCTACGTGCGGGGTTGGCTGCAACAGCCCTATCCTGGATCTGAGGGTGGCCAGTGAGTGTTCCTCGTGGGGGGCACATATGACAGTGTGACTTGTTGCCCTGTCACAGTGTCTCCCTCAGGCAGACAGTGGTGTGGGAGGCAGCCTGTCCTGGGAGATGGTACCCTCCATTTATCCTGTGGTTTGTAAGTACACAGACCTTCCTTCCCTCCCTTGTTATGGTCAGTTGCTGGAGTGGTCCGGAAGTACTTTTCGTCTCTCTGTTCTCCTGTGCTGTGTATGCATTGCAGTCTGCTAGACCTTCCTGGCGCTTTATTGACCTTTATGAGGGTCACTAGCTCTGGGATTTTCATGGCTCTCATGGTGGGAGGTGTGTTTAGCGGTTTCCCACTCTTATTAGGGCTTGGCCCTGGTGTATTGTTGTAGCCACTGCTCCTGAGTTCAGCTTGGCTCCCTGGCTATCCCAGTGGCTGCAGTTCTATGTACTGCAGCCACCATGTGCACAGTGCGGCAGCAGCCAGGGCTCCTGTTCATAGTGATGTTACAGCCTTTGGCAGCTGCTATTTGAGCCGACGCCTCGTGCAGAGGGGTTTGGCAGCCGTGACCCTCCTGTAGACGGTGTGGCCACTCAGGCAGCTGCGGCCATTGTACAGGCTTTGGTTTTTATTGGATCTTCCGTGCTTGGTAAAGCCTGGTGTGGCTGCTCTATCTAACACTGGTGTTCTGTCGAAAGAGCCAATTCATTGAAAATCTCCAAGTATGTCACTTCCGGTAACTTGCCAGCAGGAGATTTGGACGAATTGCCGTTACTGCCTGTGCAATTTCAGAATACAAAGACTGCAGGAACTTGATTTTACCAATCGTCCAGTTCTCCAACGAATGTCAGTGCACATGCGCACGCATGCACACTCACAGGTTTTGGAGAACTTGACAAGTGAGTTATTAATGCACAATGCTGTGCTATAGAAATCCTCCTGGTTTAGTGTTATGCTGTCAGGCATGGACACTAACGCCAACTTGTCGTAATCTCCTGCTAGTAAGCTACCGAAAGTGACGTAATTGGAGATTTCGATGAATTGGCTCTTTCGACAGAACACTGGGCTCCCAGGGGCGGCTGCTTGGTGCGGCTATCCTGCAGGCTCTGTGGGTACTATCTGGCTCTGTCCGATCAGGGATGACCGCTCTGGCGGTTGCTGGGCCCCTGGGCTGGCCACGCGTAGCGGCTGTCCATATTTCAGAAATGGATCAAAGTCTATGCCCACTCTGAATCCAATATTATAGTAAATAGCCTTCTCCCCCCTTCTTTTCCCCTCCACTGGGGAACAAGAATACCCCGTTTCTGCTTTTATTTGCTATGACAATTGAGGCCCTAGCTATTAAGGTCTGAGAGATGCAAAATTTCATTGGTATCACACTTGTCAGGAAAACTGAATGTATAGGACTATATGCCAATGGCCTACTACTGCTGTATTTCTTTATGATTTAGGCCCATCCTAAATCCCCCAGACGCCCAACTACTACCCTTCAGCATCTCATCTGGAGTGGTCCATTCATAACTGGAAGCAAGTAACTGCTTTCCTTGCTACACTGTAAGTTTACCTTAAAGCCCCATTCCAGGCAAAATATAAACCTCCCACCTGCCTCTAACTCATCCTGCAATTTTTTTTTTACTTGGAAAAGGCTGCCATCCAGGTACCGTTTCCGGGCAATCCAGTATTGCATGATCCCCCGCAGTTCGAAGGTGCTGATGTCAATCTTTTTCTGGATCTTGCCTGGAACTCTGCCACTGGACAGCTAATAGGAAGCGTCTCTGGCTACAGAGAACTGTTTGCTGTTTCAAGAAGGATTTGCATTGCTGTTTTTGAGGTCTATTTTTGGGCACAATGCTTTCAGTATAGCGTTTATATTTTTAAACAGTAACCATCCTAGTGTGATTCATCCTTTTAGGGGGGTTGAATATGAGATGAGAAGATTAGTAGCCTAACCGCAGAGACATAAGTCACAAATAAAACTTGAGTGGTCAGCCTCTGGTTGTTCCCTGTGTTGGTACACAGTTTGCGGGTACTGATTAACACACTCACTGAAGAGGCTGTGTATTACTTGAAACAATTGGTCCTAGTGGCTATGGTGTTGATCTGGAAAAACAGAAGCCTCTATATCAGCAAGGCATGTTGCAGCTAGGCTACCGGACCCTGTTTTCGCTATAGTAGGTCTCTCATGCTATGCTACTAAAAACTCTCTCATGCCATGCTACTAAAAAGAAGCATGTAGGCAACAATTGTATACAGCAGTATTAAATCAATTTTAGATTATTAAGGAGTGCTAGTGACAATTTTTATAAACAGCAGGGCACCATACATTTCATACTTGGTGCCCAATCCACAGTTTGTGAATTTACGAAGTGGTAAGGACTAGGAATATGCAACTAAATTTGCTAACAGAATTAGTCCTGTGACATTTCTGTATATTAGCTTATAGCGGTCAATGGTCAGTTATGTATGATTTCAGCACAGAGAACCATGTTCTACACAATGGTCCCCTCACAGCATCTCTTTAACTAAGACCCTCTTAAAGTGTACCTAAGAGCAAGAACAAAAATGTAATCTTTTGTAACTTACGAGTCCTTAGATGTGTTGGCTGCATTCATTTTTGTTTTTAGAGCAAGCACATTTCTCCAAGTACAGAAATATGTCTGTTGATCTTGCTGGAAATGCAGTGCCTCTGTAATTTTGTGTGCACTGAACTGATATCCCAAAAATATTTCAGCTTTCCAAGCTATCTATGGTAAACTACAAGACACCTCTGAGATGTTTGTAGTCCATCTCAGAAAAGCAGCCCAGGGTGGCAATGCTACAATGCAGTGAGTGTTGTCACTATAGAACAGGAACTATGTTCCGGGCAGGTTCACCAGGGGAAAAGAAGGAGAATAAAAGTATGAAATAATGAAACTAACGCAGCCACTATATCTAAGGATCGATGAGCAGCAAATTATAAAATGTTTTTTTGTTTTGGGGTTTTGATGTGCTTTAAATAAATTCAATTCCTTGTATGCATACTCCTTTAGCAAACATGTTTCTCCTAGTCCTAATCTGACTTTTTCAAGGCACCTTTTTGTGGCTCTTTTCTCTGGTTCTGCAACTATTGAATTCCACAGCCTAAAGGGCCGGGGAACACAGGTCTACATGTATAATTTAAAAAGGTCTGTACTCCAGAGCAGTGAGAACATGATTAAATATACAGTATCACTAGTGTAAGAAATTACAGGGGCCCATATTAAAAAATTAAAACCTTATATCTCTTTAATAATAATTTAAGAGGTGTATATGGATGAAGGGTTCTTAAAAGGTAGCTTGACAATAGGATGCATGAATACTGCCCAGATGTGAACAGGATCGTAAATTAGGGCAACATCAAATAATAGAATTAGTTTGTTAGTATGCTAATCTGCCATGCAGATCTGCCCTTTTGGTCTCAAGAAGATAACACTTAGTTAATATGCATATATACTCTTCTCAGACAGGATGGAACCAACCAGGTTATGGCCAACCTATGTGTATTTGATCAAAGAGACTTCCGTTGCCATCCAAACACTATCATGACATACAGTAGCTCTGATTAGGTTATGAGGATCAATCGAGGGTTTCTAATGATGGTGAATGAGGGTAGCTGGGATAAAGAGGGGATACCACCACAGGCAAGAGAGCATTGTGGGGGAGGCCATTTTGGAGGAAGACATTTTGGGGAGGCCATTAGAGGAACCACAGTCCAGAACCTGTGTAATTCTACAGGATGGGTAATATACATGCATCCAATTGACAAGTTATGCTAACCATTTTATGGTATTTTATGTGTTGGGTCAATTTCCTATTTGATTTAATATTGCTGTTTAGTATTGCTGGTTTACTATTGATGTGTTAGTGTTCCTCTGGTAGTAATCTCTGATAAATTAATTATGCAATGTTTTTGGTCATCTTTGTAATTTTTTCTTTATCAATAATCAAGTTCTAGATGTTTAAATGCCTTGTACAATATATTATTTTAAACCCACGGCTCGTATGTGTGTTTCTTAGCTGACCTTCCCTTCTTGAACAGGAAGAAGTGTGCTTTGATAAATAATATAGATTTTATTATTATTCATATTATTTTTATTCGTTGAAATCACCCCCATTTTTAATAGAATACAGCGTTATAATATGATATTTTCTTTCACAGTCTTGTGTTCTCTTTCACCTTTCATTTTTCAAGTTCCCCGGGGGCGTCTGATGTGAAAGTTTTTTTTTTTTTTTTTTTTTTAAATCATGGCTGTCTCTCTGATAACAGCACTTCCTATAATATTGTGGCATTCTCTTAGCTTATGTGGCTTTCTTAAATTACATATCTCCTTGTTTACGCGCACGTCTCTCCAGTAACAAATGTGACCATCTGAAGGGTGAAAACTGTAGTTTGCACTTACATTTCTTCTTTTCACCCATCAGTGGACAATCCCTATAACCTTTTTACTCCTTCTCAAAAACAAATTTCAGTCATTAGACATCCACTTCAGCCATCCTCCAAACCAAACCAAAATATTTATCAATCAACTCATTTGTTACCGTGACCAGTGAGTATCCTTGTTTTATATTCCCAGTGCTGACTATGAAATCTGACTGGTTGCTATAGGCCCTTTTTTCTTTTTAGTTACAGATTTTGCTAGCACTGACACATTTAATTATCACCCATGTACAAGACTTTTATAACATGTGACAATTAACTATCTGA